ACACAGTGTCAACTTTAATATACACTTCGAATGTACAACTAGCATAATTGACGAAGGATAATGTTGTTGGGGGAGGGTGAGAAGACTTTGTTTGATGGTTGTCGGGAACGTTGTAATATTGTTTCTTAACTTATTTATCCTTTAGTAGGCCGGTCCTCAACTGTTAAAAATAAGCAAATTAATCCTCTAACTTTACTTTATATTTATGCAGTCAAACTCTACAACGAAGAAAAGTGTTCGAATCTTTATTGTAATGCATATTGTGCCATTTAAAATGCCCTCTTTGTTATCTGACGCTTCAGTATGCATGAGAATTTTGTGGACCTAACATGTTTTTGACTAGCATACCTGTACAAGATGATAATATGTGAGTGTGTGTACTTCGTGACATTAGCTACGAGAAGCATGACAGTATAGATAGAACTGTTAGTAGTTTACCTGCACTGCCCAATGCAGAGACATGATCCAGAAGGGATATTAGCAAAATTTAACATAGGTGTTGACAGAATTTGTGAAGGTCCACAAGACATCATAGAATAAGGTTATGAATTCATTCCTCTGGAAGAAGCCACTTGATTAAAATTTGAAAGAAGCCAGTTGGTTAAAATTTGATGGCGGATTCCGAGCAAAAATCAATTCTTTGAAGCAACTAGTGATTTGAGTAAGTTAAACAGTAGCAAATACTATCAAAGTCTTCATCAATATCACATAATAAGAATTTAAACTCCAGTTTAAGCTGAAAAAATTCTACCAGTTTGGATTTTAAATAGATTTCAGGCAGATTTTGTATGTGTATTTGGGAATTGGAGATGTTGTCCTAGGTATCTTTCATCTTTATACATTTATCATCTTATATCTTGGAAATTTTTTTGAAATTTGTATTTGGTACTTTTCCATTTTGTTTAGTGAAGTTCTTCTCTGTGAAATTGTTGATTCTCTCAGTTACATCTTTATTTTGTTTCGGTGATGTTGTTTAAGTTGGCATCGAAGTGAAGTAGGTGCCAATTTCGGGTATTTGATTTTGATTTTATTTTACGAAAATACAAAAAAGCTTTGCTGAATATAAAAATGTTCTTTTGTAGCAGATAGCGATGTTACATGAAGCAATTCGAAATTTTTGTGAACTTCAATGTAATGTGTTTTTATTAACTTTCTTGCTAAAACTTAGATTTTAATTTTTTTTCTTATTTTTGTGCAGGTTATATCTACTCGTTAAGAGGTGTACTCCATTTGCACAAGACAAAGTGTTTGTGCTAGTTGGATTCTAATTATTCTTATTTAATGTTGTTTTGAAATCAAAAACTAAGGAATTTCAGGATATGTTTGCAATTTTTTGCAACATGGTTTGCTAGTTTGTACATTAAAATTTGAACTAAAGCACTTTTTGAGTTTAAATTGTTTTAAATTTTGTTCCATGAAAAGAAATATTATTATAATAAACAGCTTTTCTGTTTCTAATTTTAATTTAAATTAGCGACGGAAATAGGAACGGAAATTTGTCGTTGATTAGTGACAACCCAGATTTGTAGGTAATTAGCGACGGTTGAAGTTGTTGCCAATTTCATCATTAAATCGTCAGTAATTATTAACCAAAAATCCTTTGCTAATTTGTTGGTAATTAGCGACGGGTTTATATACTCGTCGCTAAATTATCGGGGCCACTTTCAGAGACGGGTTTATATACTCGTCGCTAAATTATCGAGGCCACTTTCAGAGACTATTTTAGTAACAGAAATCATGGCTTTATTGACGGATTTTGCCGTCGTTGAAGCCGATGTATTTGTAGTGAACATTGAGAAATATACCACAAAGGATAACACTCAACGTGGGTATGTTTTCTTGGCGGGGTCTTAATTCTCAATTGGATGGGCTTGTAATCGTGTTCTTGCTACTTTATCACTTCCGAGCCTGGAGACCACGGGTGGAGTCAGGAAAGTAACTGAATGTGGGTACAATTTATCGATGTCGAATGTCGAGTCTTTGTTTATGGATTTAATGATGATAAAAATATAAAACAATATTACAACAATACTAAAAATGACATAATTTATAAATTACACGTGTTCCTAGTGAATTTTTATACTTTGATATCGTTGTACAATAA